TTTTGGGGGAATGTGTATTGACCGCATGTTATTTGATCAATCGGACACCGTCCATTCTGTTGAAGGGAAAGACTCCCTATGAAGTTTTATTTGGGCGACCTCCTTCTTATGATAATGTGCGAGTTTTTGGTTGCTTGGCATATACGCACAATCATGGACTTGGAGGGGATAAATTTGTCAGTCGAAGCAGACAGTGTGTTTTTGTTGGGTATCCTTTTGGAAAGAAAGGATGGAGCTTGTATGACTTAGAGTCCGACACGTTCTTTGCATCAAGAGATGTTACTTTTTTAGATGATGAATTTTCCCTTATGCATGCAAGGAAGATGAACAGCCAAACAAAGCACAAGGCCAATTTCATTGTGGAATAGGTGAGACAGATGAGGTGTTGGTGCCGTCCACTTATTTACCAGGACAAGCAAATGGCGAGATGGAGATTGACCAGCAAAGCGAACTTGCTGAAGAAGGAGTCCTGTAGAAGAAGGAACCCGCATCGACCCGAATGCAAATGTTGGTGAACCCATGCATTCTTGTGATGCCACCACAGAAAATGTAAGCGGAGACAGTCCTGACGTAAGGGGGGGGGGGTGGCGATGTTGAGCAACAACAACACTCTAGATTTCATTTGGGGTGTGGGCATCGACAGAAATAGCAGTCCACAAGGTTGAGAGATTATGTGTTTCACACCACACAGCGATTGATTCCCTCTCCGCATCCCTTTGCAAGCTCACTCGGCCAATCACATTCTGCAGGTAGTTCTTATCCCATAGATAACTATGTGAACTGTAACAATTTTTCTTGTCGACATCATGCTTTTTTGGCAGCTATTACTATAGGAGTTGAACCTACTTCTTTGCCATCCGGAAAACGAGCCATAGGATACAAATGGGTGTATCGAATCAAGTATAACGCTGATAGGATAGTGGAAAGATACAAAGCCCGTCTCGTGATTTTTGGGAACAAGCAGGTTGATGGATTTGATTATAATGAAACTTTTGCCCCAATTGCAAAAATGGTTACTGTCCGTACCTTTCTTGCAGTCGCAGCAGCTAGAAATTGGGAGCTTCATCAAATGGACATACATTATGCATTCTTGCATGGTGACATTCATGAGGAAGTCTGCATGCGAATGCCTCCTGGTTTTCAGTCAGATAAACCAGGTATGGTGTATCGGTTGCGAAAATCTCTGTATGGATTGAAACAAACACCGAGATGTTGGTTTGCTAAATTAACCACAACCTTGAAGACATATGGGTTTCGGCAATCATGTTCAAATTACTCCCTATTCACCTTTCGTCGAGACATGGTGCATGTGCTTGTTCTCGTGTATGTGGACAACATTATCATGTCAGGTAATGATCATATGGCAATTCAAGTCTTTAAGAAATATTTAAGTGACTACTTCCATATGAAAGACTTGGGACCATTGAAATATTTTTTGGGCATTGAAGTTGCCCGAGACTCAACAGGAATTTTTTAGTCTCAACGAAAGTATGCTTTGGATATTATCTCTGAAGTTGGATTACTTGGTGCAAAACCTGCTCCTTTTCCTCTGGAGCAGAATCACAATCTCGCCTTGAGAGATGGGCCTCTCTTATCTGATCCTAAGTGATACAGGCGCTTGGTGGACAGGCTTATTTATCTCTTAGCAACTCGTCCAGAGTTGTCTTATTGGGTGCATGTTCTGTCCCAATTTATGCAACAACCGCAAGAAAGACATTGGGAGGTTGCATTGCGAGTGGTGCACTACTTGAAAGGAAATCCTGGTCAAGGAATTCTCTTGCGTTCAGATTGTGACTTGTAGTTATATGCATGGTGTGATTCAGACTGGGCAAGCTATCCTTTGTCCCGACGTTCTCTGTCTGGATGATTTATTTTGCTTGGGAAATCGCCGATTTCCAGGAAAACTAAGAAACAACACACTGTGACTCATTCTTCAGCGGAAGCAGAGTATCGTTCTATGGCCACGACCACGTGTGAATTAAAATGGCTGAAGGGATTGTTATTGGCTCTTGAAGTTACGCATTCAAACCCAATGCGATAATATTGTGATAGTCAGGCAGCCTTGCATATTGCAGAAACCCGGTGTTTCATGAGCGTACAAAACATATTGAAGTTGATTGCCATTTTGTACGTGATGAGATTTAAAATGCTTACATTTGTTCTGCTTATGTGTCGACTACCGTTCAGCTGGCTGACATTTTTACAAAGTCACTAGGTTGCAGAGAATTTGAATACTTTCTCCGCAAGTTGGGCATTCACAATCTACATGCTCCAACTTGAGGGGGGGTGTTAGGATTAGGAGTCCGCTCACGTATATATCCTCTTTGTATATATCTTCTTTCCTTATCATGAATAGTTCAGATAGGATAGGAAAGATTGAGTCCCTGTAAACTTGGGAGTTCTAGTTGCCATAAGCTTAGGAGTTCGGTGGTTGTATTCATGTATATATATTTGAATTCTCAATGAATAATTGATAGAAAAGGATAAACCAGAAAAGCTCTAGTTTAACATTTTTCCTATAAACTAATAATAAACCCTTTGATCGATTGATCGAGAGTGTGACAGAGATGAGGGGGAGTCATTAGTAATACTGAAGAGTGAAGAACAAGATTTGCCACCAGGAAGCAGATACTTTGTAGCCACTACCACTTTTCCTCCTCAAAGTGGCCAATATAGATCTCTCGGGCGATACAAAGTGAGAGCACAGGAGAACCATCGTAGTCTCGTTCGACTGCTTGGATGTTGTGTTGAGCTAGAACAGCCCCTCATGGTCTACGAATACATACCCAACGGGACCCTTTACGAGCATCTACATGGTCTTCATCCTGGCGGGCGGTCAAAGCTCACCTGACGCCGGCGGCTCAGCATTGCTCTTTCGGTTTTTCTCACTAAAATAGGGACTCCGCCCCTTTCTCTTTTATTTTTAATGTTAAATCAGGGGCGGAGCTCCATTCTTCTTCTTCTTCTTCTTTATGTACAACTTGCACAAAAACAGGGGCTCCGTCATCCAGGAGGTGGTCATGGTGTTCCTTGGTTTCTAGAAAGAGGTTAGAGGTAGATCCAGAGAAGTGATTTGGGTGATTAGCGAAGAATTAGAGACATCAAGGTGATCATGGTGTTCCGTCATCCGGGAGATGGCCGTAGTTATTGCAATTGTTACTGGGTGATGGTGTTCCAATAACAACAGTAAATAATAAGGGTATTTTAGGAAATTTAAAATAAATAATACTCACTTGATGTCAAATGTTAATGACAAGTAAAGTGTTAGACAATTGTCAGCAAATTTAAGGATAGCGCAAGATAATATCTAAATATTAAGAATACTGTTTGTCAATTTCATGAACAACAGGAATAGTTTAAGAGATTTTCCTTTATTATTATTATTATTATTATTATTATTATTATTATTAAGAAAAGTTGGCAAGTCTAGAAAACTTATAAAGCAGAAATTCTTCTTTCCTGTTTTTTGGTTGGGCGTGTAGTTTGGATGTGAAGGAAGATTGAAGTTTGGTGCGAATTGAAACTGGGTCACTTTCATCTCTCCTCTTTTCAGGTAAGTTTTTGGTGGTTGGATGGTTACTGAGCCCACTCCCAGTTGGTGTTTCTCTTGTCTTGCTGCAGTGAAAAAGGTCCCATGCTGAGTCATTTCCACGAATCCACCAACTCAAAATTGGCCCCTTTCTTTCTGGTTTCGGTGATTATCCATTTTTTTTTCTACGCAAAAGTTTCTTTTTTTCTGAAAACCAAGAAACAAAAGGCAAGCTCTTTGATGGCATCCGTCCTCAAATAATCTACTTCTCCCTAGATTTCCATAACGACCCTACGTGCTACGTGGGAAAGCCAGAATTCCCCACCCAAAGTGGGTGTTTGTTTTTCAACTTTTCATCGGGAGTGGGAAAAGGACTGGTCGAGCTACGAAAATGGAGGAGATTCCAGAGTATCTATCGATAAAACAGAGAGGTTAAACTTACTGAATTTAACAGATCTCACCGGATATCAATATCCAGCTTTCACGTCAAGAGCCGAGATATCGAGCGGTTTCATGTAGGTGTCAGAAAGATCCGGAAATGTCCTGAGAGAGCCCCACCAGAGTTGGGGGAGTGACTCAATGAGGATTAGGATGATGGAACATTGGGCCCTGTGTGACAGAGAAAGTTGTTTAAGCTTTAGGGTTTGCAATTTTGATCCCCAAAAAGAAAAAGAAAAAGAAAAATAAAACCATAAAAATAATGGCTTTCTACCTTATAGCAACAGTCCACGTGATGCCGACCTTTTTGATTTTAACCTCGAAATCCTTGACACCCAAATGGGTTAGGTGATGATAAAGAAAACGATAAATCCATCCCTCTTTTGCTCTTCTTCTTGTCTTCATCAACCCTACTACCTCTCCGTTTTCTATAAATCTGCCCACCCTCTTCCATCCACACTCCCCTTTTTCTCTGTTTCTCAGCCCCTTTAAGTTGGAGATAGAAATACAAAACAAAAAGAAAGATTCTAAGTACAAGAGAGCAAGAGTGAGTAAAACTAGAAGAATAGAGGTTGGGTAGTGGTGCTACATGTGCTTTGGAATCAAAATGCTACTTTACAAGTATCTATAATCAATTCCCTCCAGAGGTCACATTATATAAAAACATATTCACTCTTTTCCTCCTTAGATCTCTCCCTCACTTTCTTCTCATTTCCACGGTTTGTTGAGATAATTGGGTGCTGTGTCTTAGTTTCTGATCTGTGATTCACATAGGAAATGGGCGAAGAGACAAAAAAGGTAATGCGGCTAATTCCTTGTTTAATTTGCCTCGCATGTGTACATTACGTGGGCCTTTATTTCATCAATGTTTTTGCAGTCTTGGGGCTAATTGATTCTGATTTTCTCTTGCTCTTGACATTGGGCAGGAAGAAGGCAAGGCAGAGGAGAAGACAGAGGAGAAGAAAGAAGAAGAAAAGAGTGAAGAGAAGAAAAGTGAGAATGTGGAAGAAAAGAAAGAGGAGACTAAGCCACCATCACCAGTAATTTTGTTTGTAGATTTGCATTGTGTAGGATGTGCAAAGAAGGTAGAAAGGTCCATAATGAAATTCAGAGGTATATATATAAAATATATATCTTCTTTCTACGTCTTCCCTCCCAGATAGTCCAATATTAATTACATAAATTCTGTCTCTAGTTAACACATTTTGATTGAGTGTTGGACACTGCACAGGAGTTGAAGAGGTTGTCATGGATATGGCACAGAACCAAGTAACAATAAAGGGGATAGTAGAGCCCCAAGCTGTGTGCACCAGAATACAGAAAAAGACTAAGAGAAGAGCCAAGATCCTGTCCCCGTTACCTGCAGCTGAGGGAGAACCTGTGCCAGAAGTCGTTACTTCTCAATCCCAGGTACCTTTGTTTTTCTTTACTTTGAAGTGTTGAAGAATGAAGATGAAAAACAATCCCAGCCCCCTGCAGGTATCGTAATTTGTTTGTTTCATCATTCATCAGGTTAGTGGATTGACGACGGTAGAACTGAATGTGAACATGCATTGCGAGGCCTGTGCTGAGCAGCTGAAGAGAAAGATACTCAAAATGAGAGGTGGGTTCATGCATACTCATCATATCACATTGCAAGCAATAGATAAAAGAAGATGATGTATTTTTTGTTTTGCTGGGTTGGTTCTACTTATGCAAGCTTATCTTGATCATATCATATATTTATGTGGCACAGGGGTGCAAACAGCGGAGACAGAGCTGAGCACAGGAAAGGTGACAGTAACCGGAACCATGGATGCTGATCGCCTCGTCGACTATGTATACAAAAGGACCAAAAAGCAGGCTCGAATCGTACCACAACCGGAACCACCTGTCAGCGAAAAGAAAGAAGAGGGGGAAAAGCCGGTAGAAGAAGTAGCGGCAAAGGCCGATGAGGAAAAGGCAGAGAGCGGCAACGGGGAGAAAAATGAGAACAACGGCAAGGAAGGAAAGGAGGAGGGTGGGGGTGGCGGTGAAAACAAGGAAGAGGGAAAGGAGGGAGGAGGAGGAGAGGAGAACAATAACAACGAGGAAATAATGAAGAGAATGATGTACTATTATCCTCAACTATACGTCATCGAGCGGGTCCCACCCCCCCAACTCTTCAGTGATGAGAATCCAAACGCCTGTTGTATCACATGATGAGAATGTAATTAATGTCTGTGTGTGTACATTTATATATAATCTACAAATTTTACATATAACATAATAAGAGGGCATAAGAGAATGGAAATGCATGGGAATTTGTTTAATATATAATAAGAGAATGTAATGTTGTGTATGTACTCCGTCCTACTTTCCTAGTCCATAGTAGGAGTTTAATGAAAGGCCAAAAGCCATGGACAATGGGGATTTTGGGGACTTAATTGGTGCCTGTTTGGAAGGGTTTTCACACACTGGTGAAGTTATGTTTGGTGAAAAACCTAAAAAAGAAAATATACGCTTTTTTTAGCTGAGAAATCTATTTTTGATAGTTTTTTTTTTGAAGTGTTCAATCAATGCTGAAGTCCTTATAAACAGGTATTTCGTCACTAAATAACTTTGAATTTGAAGCAACAAGTAAGGGTGCAAATTGGGTTGATCTAAATTGGTATTTTACATTATTTCAGATTCAGGACTTTGGGCCAGATCCATTCAAATGCCCAAATTGCTGCAGCCCTAGCCATGACTACAACTGTAGAAGGATGTGAAACCATGAGTTTCAAAATTGAGCTCCCCAAGTCCGACTCCACTCCCACACACATGACACATCCCATGGCCACGCTTTGATCAGTTTTTACGACATAAACATGCATGCTAATTAAGTCTGCTAACCTGTGTCTGTATATATTAATTAAAGTCAAACATGAAACAACAACCCACGCTACATAAACACAACATAAGCTCATCCAACTACAACACATCAGACATGCATGGCACAACACACACAACACAGAGTGTGATTGATTGGGAGCTACCACCTAACTCAACTTAAAAGAATTTATTTATTAGAGTGGAGTGATATTGAATTCAGATTTCAGAGCAGAGTGGTGCAATCTCTTTGATAAACGCACCCCTACCCCAATCTCACAAATCCAATGTCCAAAGGACGCCGTGACGTTGGGTTCAATTGGATGTGGATGTTACACTTGACAAAATGCAAAGCAGCTTTGAATTTAAGTTGAAGACAACTGGAACCGGCTTTATCGAAATTCAGAAAAGGGAAGGCTGTGTTTTTAACTTTCAATGCAAAATCACCACTCAATCACCCGTTTCGATAAAGAGCCTCAACTCTCTCTGAATTTTTTTTCCTGAAAACTCTTTTTAAATTTGATAATTACAATCACCTCCTTTCAACTTTTTAATACAGGTGCAAGTATTAGAAATTTAGAATTTTATATCCAAAATACCTATACAATTATTATTAAGTCTGGTTACTAAAAAACAATACAAATTTATGAACAACAACAAAAAAAAATAAAGAAAATAAAAAATAATACAAATTTATAAATAACAACAAAAAATAAACAAAATATAGAGTTATAGCTTTACCTTTAAGCAAATGACATAAATGATAAATTTGAGAAATACAACAATTTCAAAGAAGAGATCGGAAGGGTTTGGAATAATAATTTATATAAACTAGACCTGTTCATGGGCTGGGCTGGGCTGGGCCGGGCTCAGGCCAGACTTTTACCCATCATTAATGGAAATACGCTAGGCCCGAGTCCGAGCCCGAAGCCCGACCTAATAAAAAAAGTTACAATTTTCCCTATTCAAATTAGAATTAAAAATTCAGATGTTTTTTTTCCTATTTAAATGAACAATGGGCCTACAAGATGGTTTTTTTTCCCTTTCTTTTACGTTTTAAAACACAGTTTTACATTCTTAAATCAAAAAGTTTATTCAAATGGACATAATCACATAACCCATTTTAAGTCTAATTTTAGGTCGGGTCGGGCCGGGCTATTTTGACAAAACCCGAACCCAGCTCGAATTTATTATGGGCCGAGCTTTTTGGCCCAAGTTTAAGCCTATGGGCCTATAAACATGTTCAAACCCGTCCGGGGCCTGGGCGACCCATCGGGCCACCCAGCCCATGAACAGGTCTAATATAAACATTTTGGTCAAAAGTGATTGAAAGGGTATATTAGACATTTTATGTCTCTTTCTAGAGGACTCTAACTGGAGGGTTAACTATTTTAAAAAATTTAGGGGAAGTGAATGCAATTATTTAATTTTAAGGAAAATTTCAAAAATTATGAGAAGATTAAAGCAATTTATCCCAAAACGTGGCGGTTGATTTCCTTCGGTCTATGCAAGACTATGATGACTGTTCGGATGGATTTTGCTCGGATTGAATCCGATCTCAGAGTGTGGGAGTTGGGAACTTTAACCTCATTTCATTTTACGAGGCGTCCAAACTCAACTTGGACCATAACTGATAAAAAGGAGTTTACGGGGACCACCACCAACAATGTGGCATTCTAAAGTCCCATTCTCACTCTGGTTCTGGAATCTGGATCGCCCAATTACTCTTTTTGCATGATTCTCTTTAACCTCATTTTGCTATTTAAAAAATAGGATTAAATATAAAAACCTCCTACCAAGTTTCTGACAACGATAAAAATCTTCCTTTTAGCTTTTCTTTAAGCTCGGTTTGTTTGTTATACAAACATTGAATCAGGGTATTTATGTATCATAGTTTGTATTTGTAAGTATTTGTTTGATATGTAAAAATGTAATAATTAAGAAATTAAAAATATATTTTATTGCATCTATTTTTTGGATATAATTTTGTATTTTTTTGATAATTTTATTTTTTTATCAAAATTAAGGCATTGGATTATAAGGTAGTTGAATCATTTAATGATAGGGCTTATGCTTTGCACTGATTTCAAACAAATAAGATGAATACAAAAGCGGTTTAAAAATATGAACAATATTAGCATTCATGAATTGCAAAAAAGATAATTATGCAGAGTAGATATTTGTATTTGCATCGCAATTAAACACAACCTTAACAAAAACCTCCCATAACTTTTGAAAAATCAACAAATACCTCCCTTCCATCACTGGCCTGGATAAAAGACGTTAGACTGATGCATCAAAATTTTCCAAATACCCATTTTATCCATTTGTCGTTTTCTTCATACTCTTTCTTTGCCGTTTTTTTCCTCTTTCAATCTCCCATCATTCAAACTCTATTGACTCATCCAGTTGGCTCCTGTTACTCCATTTCTTTAATTCATTATTATTCTTAATAGCTATTCACTTCAATAGCAGGGAAGAGCAATTTGCTAAGAGGAATTAAAAAGTAAAAAAAAAAATAAAACTAAAAATAGGCCAACATCTATAGACCTTCGTAGTTTACACCAGACGGAGAAAGAGTAGCAGCGGACCCATCCATCCATGCTAGGGCTACTAAACCAACTCCCCAGAAAATTAAATTCCTTTCCATGCTCTGTTTTTAGCGTTGAGATACACTCACACTTTTCTCAGAATCAGAACTGACATGAAAAAACGACCAAACCAAGTAAAGGAGTCATGTCATCTGAAATTAGATCCATTGAACAACCATAACATCATCAAAAAGTGAACAAGCGCCATAAAAGAGCTCTTAATCCAAACCCAGATGGAAAACCCACATTTCTATTAAAGGAAAAATATCATCTTTGCCTTTTTTTTTTTTTTTCTTCAAACGAGTCAGCATCCTATCGCGATCGACACCCTTGTGCGAGAATTTCTGTTATTCGCATAAGAACTCATAAACCGTGACGAAATTCACTCCCAAAACCACCATTTCAGTAGGGAGAAGATGAAAAGAAAAATAACTTTCCCAAAGAAACTGTCAGAAACAAATCCAAATCAGAGCCAAGATGCCAGAAACACAGTTCCAAGAAATTCCGAGCTCAAATATGGAGAATCGAGTAAGAAATATTGATTGATTGCAATCAAACTCCTCAGTCTGAGCACCATTTCAACAGAAACAAAGGAGAAAATAAAGAGAATTTTTTTAGAGAATGAAGGTAGCAACCAAACAAGCAAAGCGCCCATCACCTGTAAAATTCTGAAATCCTAGAGATCGGAAGACACAGGGTTTGATTTCTATCCATTTTAACCAATCCCCACATATTCCATGTGAGTATAAACGGCAGTGGAGATTGAAACTTCCTCTATGGTATTTTACGATCTTTTTAAATGATTTTCTACGGATAATTTCGTAAATGTAAATGCTTTCTATCCGGTCAGTGACGAAAGGGAAGTTTTTGTCAATTTTTTAAAAATCTAAGGAAGCTTTTTGTTAAAGTGAATCTAAAAGAGAGGCTTTTATGATTGTGAGAAATTTCATGGGAGGCTTTTGTATTTTACCCTAAAGAACCCCATGCGCATGATTTTTCTTTATCTTTTTAATAAAACAACTAATATAGAGTCTGGATTTCCTGCTCACACAAACTCTATTCACGTCTACCCACATAACATCGTAGCCACTCATGGAGAACATCTCATCCTCCTACATAGTATTATGCGGGGGGAGATGTTCCTAATTCACGAGGATAGTGTGTTGTGGGTAAACATAGGCAGAATTCTCATGGATAGGAGATCCAGACTCTTTTTTTTTTTATTGGTGAAAGAGATCTGGACTCACTAACATAAGTGAAAGATTTGGCAATTTGCCATGACTCTAGATCTCATACCCACACCTACCCACAAAACACTACCTCCCTGTGTTTGGAACTTCTCCTCATGCATAATAACATGTAAGAGCATGAGATGTTTCCCATGTGTGGTAGAGGCATTGTGGGTTTTACAATTATGAATAAAATCAGGTTAGACAACCACATGATGCTTTATATTGAACAAGCAAACCTTGTTATGTTATGTATTACCTAATTGGTATTTCTTTCTGTATGATTGGATGTGCAAATTGATGGTGCACGATTTGGCAGGTGACTCGGATGCTGAGTTGAAAGTTTTCCTTTGTCGGTGGCCAAGCCAAGTTTGACTGAGTTAGGTCTGACCAAGCTACGTAATCCTGTAAGAGAAAGGTGTTAGAGTGCTTGAGTTGTTTTTACCTAGGGTGGGCACTTCGATGCTTAAGTCAGCAAAGAGTTATTTAGAATCTAAAAAGATTAGAGAGTGCGAGAGCTTAATCGCGCATACCTTCTTTAAGGGGAATGATGCTTTTATATAGGTGTGAGGGATTAGAGACTTTCTGTAATGGGTCCTAAATTCCCGAAGAACCATTTCTGCTAAGTTGGGAGAGAGCACATACGTTGGTTATTTAATCTGCGTAGAGGGCTGAGGTCCGTCCGATTGATCCTAATGCGCGTGATACAAGTAGGTCGTCTTAACGGTCGAGCATTAATACTCCGAAAGACTCTGTGTGATAACGGATCTATGTAACAAGTTAGCGAGCACGCTTTGTAGGTCGTCGATCATACCCGTCTTGGCTCGGCCGGTCCTTAAGGGAGGTCACTCCTTGTTTGAAGGACTTTCAGGTCGGCCAGGCCGAGGTACCTTAGGTTGGCATTGGACGAGGTGCTCCTAATTGACCTGCCGTTGTGATCTGCTTACTCAACTCCGAGGTATCACTTGGAAGCTACGTGTCATGATGTAATTGGGAGGACCAAATTACCCTCATCACAAATAATAAAGAAAGGAACTAAATTCCTGCAATAAACAACTATTGAGCCATAGAGACACCGATAAGTAAATAATTTAAAATTTTTAAACCTTTAAGAAAATTTCCATCCCTCTAATGCTTAAAAAATTGAAAAAAGAAAACAAATAATATCAATTATATTGATATGTACTATCGTATCAATGTTTTAATTCCTAGTCTGATTTGATTTGTCTATAAATTTAGGACAACACAAGGGTCATGGGCCATGAGTCATCCGTCATGGCAAATCTGCAGTGGGATGAATATTAAAAACAAGTGATATCTACGGGACATAATATGAAGAAATCTGTGGATGAATAACACTGCATTAAACAAAATTTTGTATCCACTTTTCATTATATGAGGCATATATGAATGAGATGTACATGTATGATGCTCACTTTTTTTCAAAAATGAAATAATTGAAGAAATAAAAAATTTGTCTCCATCTCAGAACGAAATCTAGCAAATGAGAATTTAAGTAGGAGTATCAGCATCGATCAATATATTCCATGTCAGATATGGTATTTGCATACTTCATGGCCTAGGGGCGGTTCTTACAAAGATCCAACTTTTCTTTGCCAAAGATGAAAAGACATCCTAAAGTGGCCCGACTTATCACTGAAGAAAGTTCAGAAACAGTTGTTAAAGCAAAAAATTTCTTCTTTTTGGAGTTGGTGGGTGTCTCTGTCTGTTGCCTCAACCACCACAACATTTCAACTTGGAGGAGGGTCGATCAAATGATTTGCTAATGGGAATATTTGCACTCCATACTACTCGAATAATGCTAAAACCAAAAATCACAGAAAGATCCTGCATGTGTTATATTAATTGAAGCAAATTACAAGCATTTATTTCTAAACAAGTGATCTCTATCTCTTCCGTTTTACTTTCAGAAACTCTCTTTCTGAAATTCCAACTTTAACAGGGAAGTTTTTGCTTATAACTTAGGCAACTATAAAAACCCAGCATCAAGTAATTAGTTGCTGTCCTGATTTCCAAGGGAAAGATTAGGCCATCTAAGTCAGTTACATAATTGATTATTCTCCTTAATACTTTTTGCCCTTTAATTAGTGATTACTATTCTTGTTTATTAATATAAAAATGGGGAGGTCTGCCAGAAACAGACTTTCTACGTGTACTCTCATTAAGGTGGGGTATTCCTTGCACATGTAATTGCCGGATGACATCAAAGTATATAAATAGAACATTGAATAGAATTGTTTATAAGGTTTTCTTTCCCATCTCTTACCTCTTCACATCCTCACATTCTACCCATTTATTTCACCTTGGTTGGATAACTAACTAAGAGTAGAAAATTAATGTATAAATCTTCAAGCAAAGAAAAGTAATATGAAACTAATAGAGGGTGTTCCCCACAATGAAGAATTGGATATCCCAGGCCTCCACTCCACCCCTCTTCTTATATTCCTGCCAAGAAGGAATCCTCTATCAAAGATGAGGATACGATAGTTTACAGGTATTTAACTTCTTCAATTGTTGCTATTGTCAAATTAAAAGAGAAACACATTATGCACAAATAAGAGATGGAGTATGTGCAGAGCACATATCTCGATAATTTTTCCTCATTTAGTCTGGCATATTCTAATATTCAAAATATGACTAATATATCTCCGTGCATTTAAACACCTTCAACTTGCAGAGTGACCCCTAAAAGTGCTCAACTGAGCACAAATGAAAAAAAAAAAAGAATGAGAGTCTTTCAATTAAAGAATTTCCACTCAGTGTATATGCTTTCATTGTCCACACCCCAAGCCATAAAGCTACCAAAATCCCCTCTTTTCCAGCTTGATAGTGTGTGTTTGTGCGTGTGGGACATAAAAAAACAACATTATCAGTCATTTTGTCTTCTCAAAACAAAAGCTGATTGAAAAAGAGACATAATCTTATATATCCTTACAGAAACATTGCACCTGTATAGAAGCTTGGAAGAGCCACTAAACTATTTGGGTATCAGAAGGGTCTTGATTATTGCCAATGCTCAATTTCAAAAAGAAACACTTGACACCTTTCCACAACTCCATTCCAGTATCTCCAAACCTTTGGAGAAATTTTTGTGGATTGGAGCTGTAGAAAAAGTACACTCTTTTGCTTCATAATATTTGACAACCTTATTAAGAGACCAATGCAGTGTTTAATGTTTCTTAACCCAGAGCTTGGAGTTTACAAGTAAAGCATGACCAACTTAAGTATGAGCACAATCTAGATGGTCGACCAAAAACTACCAGGGGCCAGCCATCAATTGGCTCTGGGTTGTCAGATAAATAGCTCACATTTGATAACTGCTTTGACTGTAACGTTTTAGGGGGTATTCGCCAATGTGAATGGTTTTGTTTTTTTTTTTTAAAAAAAAAAAAAACAAAAACAACTGCCACATTAGCAAAAATGTATTGTTTATTTTTTTTCTGGCAGGATAATTTTGGTTTTAAAAAACAATAGCAGTCACAACATTGGTCACCTTTTTGAAATACCAGATCTTTGTTATTTGAAAATTACAAAGCTATAGAAACCTAAAAATTCCAAAAGAATGAAAAAAAAAGAATAGTAGATGAAGAATATGAGACGACTCTTCCAAACTTTTAACCATGAAAGACAACAAGAAGGAAGAACCAGAGAAGATATAAAAGCTGATGGAAAAGCTGCCATACTTTGGACAGAGCCAACATCCAAGACCATTATTAAAATTCCAGAAGTTAATGGGAGGGGTAATTTGAGAAATTTGAAAATTTTCATAAGATCAATAGATAGTGAAAAGTAATTTCAATTTTTCATTGAACAGAATTTCCTTTTCATGTGATAATTCAGATTAGCTGGGTAATTACTAAAAATTATGAGGGGCATTTTAAGATTTTACAAGCACAGGTTGACATGTAAATAAAAATATTGGATGAGATAAACTGCTACTTATAATATACTATCAAGAAAGAGAGGGAAAATGTAATTATGCACTAGGTTTTCAAACAAATTAATTGTTGAGCATGTTTCGATACTGTCTTGGACTTGCATAACATAAAAGTATGCTGGATATGTATAGCTTACAATTATGTTTGGTTTGAAGGAAAAAGTAGGGAAAGGAAGGGAAAGGTAGGAAAACCTATACAAGGTTTGCAAAGGTTTCCCTATCTTTCCCTTCCTTTCCTTACTTTTTCCTTCAAACTAAACACAGCCTTAATGTTTCATCCTGGGATCTATACATGAATTGGATCAATCTTAAAAACTGAACTGATTTCCGTTTGGTCTGGATGGGGACCTTGATTTCCCCTTTTAAGGTTCAGTTGTCAGCACTCAGCAGTTCAAGTATTCAGGATTAGATATGGTAATCACTAATCAGATAGATGTGTCCAATCTTGTCTGTGCCCCTAAACTTTTAGGCAGCATTATCATGAGATTGCACACTTCTGAAGTATGTAATTTCCAAATTACAACAAACACGCCTATTACTTTCAAAGGTTGAAGTTCATTGACCCCTGTAATAGTTAATATGGACTTCCAGTGAAAGCAGTCCATGATCAATGGCTAATTAGGATATAAACTTTAACATCTAACTTCAGCCATCTTCTTTTAATGCAGGAAAAAAGTTTCTTGAACAAGATATATAGTGATATCATTACTCTAGCAAGTTGGGTGGAATTACAGTTAGTATTCTACTTGAACTTGAGGTTGCTGACAAGTCATAAATTGTAACAACAGTAAATCTCACACAAAGTCTGATGGGGGAATAAAAGAAGCAAATTAAAAATGGTAACTACAATTGAGATTCAAGGAACAAGCTAAAGGGAAGAGGGATTCACCAATTGCAACAAGCACAAGAAGCAATGCCTAAACAGACTGACCTGTGGATTGTCAGAGCTATAGAATAATTTCTAGACATGAAATAGACAGATGCAAAACATATGAACAGGATGAAATTGAAATAGAAGCTTTGTAATATATGGCTAACCTTAAATTCACCCATCTTCCCATCTTTACTCTGAGTTCCCTCAGGGAAGGACAGATGCCCCTTTTCTTACCAGATCAATGCAACACTTTACACAGTCCTATACTTAAGAAGCCAATAAAATGCCAATACCTCTTCCCCTTATATTTCCATAGACAATACAATCATTCTCACCAAATCAACATAAAGAAAGATGAAAATGAAAAGAATATATACCAATTGACTTCTTCTATCCATTTGCTTCAAAGGAATAGTACCCATAAGGAACATTATCCACCAACAACAGGAAGGCAAACATCCCAGTCTTGCTGATAAACGTGAAGCTTCTCCCAAGAATCAGAAGGGTAATAAAATATCTAGAAATCTCTGGTGATTGAAAACATATACAGCAGGGGTACCAGGCTTTTGCAAATTCTCCAATCCCTCAAACTCAACCCTAAAGAAAGGAAAACTGTCAAAGTTGCCCAAATCTTGGCAGTAAGATGTACTTTTGTTTGGTATTGATCGAATAGGAGCACAATAGGATGACCCACCAGCATAAATATAAAAAGGAGATTACTAAGCTGATTATTTAAGGTGAGATCAGAATTATTGGCAGCAGTCTATGGAGTAGAGAAAGCTAAAGAAATGGGGATTACTAAGCTGATTATTTAAGGTGATCCAAAAGTTAAGGAATGAATTCAGGAGATTCAAGCAGATATGTAAAGATATGATGATCCAAATAAGATGGATTAGGAGGTTTGCAAACAGTTTGGCTGATGGTCTGGCAAAGCAAAGAACTCAAAGACGCTATGTTCTGGGCAATTCCTCCAACTTTTGATCTCACTCGAAATTCTGCCAATGGAAAACATAGACAACAATTAGAAATATTAAAGAGTGAATGAAATACAATTATACTTGCTTATCAAAAAAATTTAGAAATATTAAAGAGCAAATGAAAGAATGAATTAAAAAAGAATATCGGCAAAGGGTTCAATCAAACCTGTTAATGAGTAGACAGCATCAGGAGACCCAGTTCCAGCAAGCTCTGATCTTAAAACAATGTTTTCTGGAAGGCTTATACCTGTTTTGCAAATTAATTTTATAACATGGTTTAAATTTCTCCACTTTTTGTCCAGAAAAGAGTCCCAGTTTAGATCAATATGTTTACTTGGAAAGCCTAAAAACTAAAAAGAAATTCTATCATGAGTAGAAGAATGAAAGAACCTTAAACAAGTAAGACAAATTGCACTAATCCAAAAAAAAAACCATCCTCTTTGAAGAAATGTTTACTGAACAAAGCATAAGTGCAAACATCTTGCTTACCATAACTAAACAAAGAATTTACAGATTTTATTGAAGAACCATCCTCTTTGCTAAGGCACAGAGAAAAGAATATAATAGTTGCAGCAACAAAGACACAGTATTAAAAGAGCCAGTTGAATTTCAGGAGTTGGTAGCAGTAAGAAATCCAAGAACCTCCAAAGTTTCAAAGATCACAGCTAACCAAGTAACCAGCTATGCACGGTATCTCATCCGACTATGAAATTTAACCCAAATAGGATTCAAGTTTTATTCTATCAGGTGTTCTGCATGAGAGCAGGAGTCAAAATGCTGCTTTTTGCTTAATTACTGCCATCATGGGTCTTCAAGCTTTAATTCCAATTCCATGTAAGCATTAAGAAGGTCAAAATCAATTTAAAGTTTCATAATAACCATGGAATAAGAAAATCATAATCATATAGACGGATGGGAAGTAGGAGTGGAGCCAAGAAAAAGAATAAGAAGAGAGAGAGAGAGAGAGAGAGAGAGTTCAACAAAGAAATAAAGAAAATTTTATATAGTTGTTACAGATGTGGAATGTACCAAAGTTTTTAAAGCATCGAACACTTCAAGACTGGAATTCTCAACATGTTTGTTGTCCATCTCCTAGTTGCATCACTTCAAGTAGTTGATGTGATGTTAGATGTCTTGTATTTCTAAGAGGTTGAGACCTTTACGGTGATTTTAGTCACAACTTGTTATCTTTTAGGGTTATTAGAACTTTATTTGCCATCCATTACTTATGTGTAGAACACATTAAAATATTATAAAAAAGTAACTAAAAAATGAAACTTACAAAAGGAGTGCACATTTTAAAAGTGATGTTACCCATGCCTAAAATGTTGCCCTGACTATGTGCCTAGGTACACCTTAATTTTAAAACACTACCTTCAACTCACTTCTCAGCAACCAGGGTTCTTACCCTCCAATCTCATCACCTACATTGCTACCACTTAATGCTTACAGTATTGTGGCAGCTACTATCTAAAGAGTCAATCTCATCCTCTGACCATCTGAACCAAATACCCTTACTCTCTCCCTGCTCTTTTTTAATTTCTTCTTGTTTTCCACCCAATCACACTGCGGAGATGAAAATTGTGGATTCATATCGTCTCACTATCCCATCTTTTGAGCTATTGTGCATGTCAAAGGTTTTTATTTACATTATTTCCTTTATCATTTATTAATAAAATTACTAATTTTGTCATGATCAATTTCTAATTTGGTTACTCAGATTTGTTGCCCTTGATCAATTTCTAATCTCAACAGAACACATAAATTAAGATTGAATATCATGGTTTTCAAGATCAGACCGGACCGGATGGTCAGATCGGAAAAATCAGGAATTGGTCACTGGACAGGTTCTGTTTTACCCCAGAACCGTCATTTGGCCAAAAAACCGTTGATTTAGTCAGCAAACTGCTGACTTAGACAGTCGAACCGTTTGAACCATGCAACAGTTTTTAGCTATTTTTTTTAATTTTTTTGTCAGAATGGGCCATCCGTTCAGTTCGAACGGTTGAACCATTTGACTCGGGAACCGGACCCTTAAACGGTTCATTGTCCGGTTTAATTTTAAAAACCTTATTGAATATCATATTTCATGAAATTTAATTCGATGTACAGTCCATGACTCCAGACATTTATTTTTGGCATTATACTTGCATGGATAGCAAAATGCAGACAAACTATGATGTGACACCATTTTTTTTCCTTTAACCTTCTAAAGATGTAACAAATGGTTGTACATTTAAGGTGGGGAGTAAGTGTTTGGAACTAAGTGTTTTTCCATGAATGTAAGATGACAAATAGAATGAGCGAAAACTGCCAAGTATAAGCTCATTAGATGAATAGCTATTTTAGTTATCAGTGGAGGTCTTGGCTGACATGGCACTGAGCATAGCTGAATGTTGGAACAGGATTGATTCCTGATGTAGCTGATAAGGCTTAGAGAATTTTAGATTTCAGTAGGGCTAGCAACTGAAATCTAAAAATCTGCTGGGTTATCTGGGTTTCAAGGGGCAGCAATGGAGGGACTAAGGATGCAGTTTGGTTTTATAACAGAGAAACAGATTTTGAATGCTAGCTATATGTGAAGAGAAGGGCAATAAAGTTGTATGGGAAATTAATCCATGCTGGAGATGGGTAGAGACTTATGCTATAAGCAGCATAGTAGTTACTACTTACGATACAACTGTCTACTCCAGCATACAGGAAATATTTGAGGGGATGAATGGTTAGTAAACCATGTCCAGAGTAATGCCAGAACCAAGATTCTAGCTCTTATATTTTTGTATGTAATTCAGATAATTAGATACATTTCATACCATACGGCACAATAACATTGAATTATATTGGGAAATGGAAAAGTAGCATGGAGCATAACATTGACTAGGGTAGCTGGAAAACATATAACATATCTTAGTAAAATTTAAACCCTTAATACGACTGAAAAAATCGGCATACAATCTATTTGCAATAATAATAATAATAATAATAATAATAATAATAATAACTGAAAATATTCATCCACCTATAAATATTAGCTGCAAAAGGGAAAAAAAAATCGATCATGGTCCACAGAAAGGGTTCGATCAATTATAAATATAGAATCAATAATACTGGTCATGCCTTACTACTTACTAGTGCATGTCATAACATGGGAAGTTTCATCACTGTCTAATAGGACACTCTGGATCCCTTACCCACCTGAGTTCGGATTTCCTCTCCACAAGAATTCTGTTCACGTTTATCTTAGTCATACATGGAGAATATCTCATCTCTTGCATAGTATTATGTAAGGGGAGATGTTCCCAATTTACGAAGGCTAGGATATTGTGGGTATGCATGGGCAGAGTTTTTGTAGGTAGGAGATCATCTACCCACAAACTGTTTTTTCAACCTTATCCACAGAACACTATAGTCGTGTATTGGGAACATTTCCCATGAATGATAAGGGAAATATTCCCAATGCACAACTGTAATATTTCGTGGGAAGTGATGTGGGAATAATTTGTGGGCAGCAGATCTGAACCCCTGATAAAATTTATGTGAAGATGTTCCCAATGCATGATTGGAAGTGTTGTGAGGATTAAATCCAGATACAATTCTAGTTTCTTTTTATTCAATTGCCCTGATTGGGTTGTTAATCTTGTATCTCAGGATTTGCTGGGGGCCTCTTTGTTTGATTCTTTTGGTAACCATTACAGAAACACACAATGATGGTTTATCAAAAATGTGATATGCCATAAGCCCATAGGTTGAATGTCTCATTAAAATTCAATGTGATACCATATCCTGTTTTTTTAAACCTTGATTGAAGAATGTCATTTCTGTCTTTTTTATTTTATTTTATTTTTTGTGTCCAAATTGAGCTTTAGAACAAGTCTGTATTTTAAAGCATTCCATTCATCAGATGCAATTAAAAGCATTTTACAGAAAGGGAGATAAGTGATTAAGTGAAAACCATCCTTCAAATTCAAAATATTGAATGATTAAAGATTCCCTTTTAACAAAAGTGGGTGCACCCAAATCACTCTCCTTAAACAGACCAGCATCTGTCTAACCTCTGAACCATGTAGTCCCCTTGATATTCCAACCACAATCAATAATGCTAGCCATGCCTTAATAGTGCATGTCATAACACGGGAAATTTCATCACTGTCTAATAGGAATAGTACATTCGGCAATGGGTGTTTGGTAATTCCCTTTAGATGTTTGATGGAATACCCGTATAATGTTGTCTTCACATGGACTATTGGCTAGCATTCCTCCAACAATAACATATAGGAGTGATCATTCTTACCCCAAGTTGGTTCAGCTAGCTTTCAGCTTGCATATTTTTGGGCTTGGACCTACGTTTCTTGTTCAGGCCTGGCTTCGGCATGGGTATGGGCCTGTATCAGATCCAAAAAAAAAAAATGTATTGGTCAGTCTTGAGCTCGATATTTTGGAGAATCAGGGCTGGCAATGATAACAATTTTTAGAAATGTTGATTCATTAATTGGTGTTTTAACTTTAAGCTTATTTTGGTGTAAGATAATTGTTTTTTTCTTTTAAATAATAGTTAGAATTCATCCAACTATTGAATTGAACGGTGATACCATTTGACCTGTAACCTAGTGGCTGAAATGGCTTTAGTCATATGGAACCTATACACCACTTTCAACTACCCTCAGGCAGTTAGGCCTCAGCCAAGAGCATATAAATGTCCCTTAAAAATTCAGACTTATAAAGTAAAAATGATGACACAAGTTCTATCTAGATTGTGCCTTTGTCAATTTAGTATGTACAAATTTGACAACCTTGTAATTTGCATCCACCCATAACATTACATTTCTTTTGTTTGACATGTTGAGAGGGGACCTTAGGTATAGCTATCAATGGGTCGAATCTGGTTCAGGACAGGATGAATTAGGCCCGATTATACTTGACATTAATATTATGATAATAACATTGGAGCTTCATTTTCAATAAATATAGCCTTAATAATTGATAAAACAAGTGTTTTGAATAAAAATATCTCATATACTGTATATGAAATATACCTTTCTAGGCATACAATACAACAAAAATTACAAGAAAACAAAGAAATAATCAGTGTGGGTTTTAATCGGTTTGGAACAGTGAGAACCAATCCTGACTCAATTACTGATAGGAACACAAAACATATAACCAAAACTGTCATAATCGCTTTGATCAGTTCAGTTCTTTGGATAGACTAGAACCCATCCATTGACAGCTCTAGTTTTAAGGGTTTCACAAAACAACGTTTGGCTCATCTGTTTTTCTTCTTTCTTTTGGTGAAAGGAAGTTATTGGGCCCATCAGGTTTTGGTTTTTGCTTTTCTTACAGTGAGCGTGCACATTCTTGTATCAACATCTATATTATATAAAACTGATATTTGCCTTGATCCTATTTTTGTTCATAGAGGTCTTTTACTCTTTCATCTTACTTTTACTTGCACGTGTACAATACCTGCTCTTATACTAGTAAATGACAAATTTAAATCTCCCATTTGAGTATAAAAAAAAAAAAAAAACATAACGTAAGTATGGATACCAATCTGATGAAAACCATCCAGCCTTGGAGTACAAATTTCTTCCTCACAAAATTGGTTCTCATAGTGGGACTGAATCTAGTAGGCTCAATGAGCATTTAGTAAATATTCTAACAACTGTTAAAAGTTGTTTTTAATCTTTTCAACGGTAGGTTGAGGGTATTTTAAGGGATAGGTGTCAAAAAATTTTCTAAGTATATATATTATTTATATAAATATATAACTCATATGTCTATGTTATTTATTTATTTATAAATATGTTTATATATTGCATTTTTGTAATCTTTAATAAAAATGTATATATATGGTGAAAATATTTTTTTTTATTTTTTCTGTTATATTTTCTTTTCCTTTCGGATGAGATCAGATTCGAATAACCAACATCCTTCTCAGATTCCATCATCTACGTCTAGTGAACCATCAGCTGAAGTGTCATGTCCTCCTTGATCTTCTAATCTATCTTTTGCATCAAACCAGTCCTTCAAACATATGCATATCTCCAAGCTTTCGTCATTCATCCAGCTTCTCTTATTATCTAATACCTTAATATGTGCACTAAAATAAGACTAGTGGAATTGTGGAAACCAGAGAGATAAGTAGATCACATGTCATAGTAGAAAGCACTAGTTACTTTTTTCTATATCTTTTCACCATACTGAAATATCAAAATTATGTAATTATTTAGATGTGAGGAATTTTGTTAAATTAACTTGTAAATAAAAATGAAGTTTAATAAATGAATTTGTTTAAGAAGTGACAATTGACTGTTGCCTTTTATTTGTTGATGACCAAGCTTTATCTAGGTCACTAATAGAACTAGTGGTTCCAATAGTGAAGGCTACATGAGTTCTCTAAAAAACATTAGTATAAAAAAGTTCTAAAAAAGCTTTTATACAAGTTACAACTTCCCAATCATCTTCAATTATAAAATCATGGGGCATTATCTCATTATAAAAATTAGTAAGAATATCTTTATATGAAATACAATTATTTAAAATAAAATAAGTGGAATTCTACCTATGTTTAACATCTAATACAATTTTTTATATTTTATCCCATATTTTTTATATAAATATTTAAATTCTTGTTTTTTTGTTCTATAAGGTTGTGTTTGGTTTGAAGGAAAAAGTAGGGAAAGGTAAGGAAACCTATACAAGCTTTGTAAAGGTTTCTCTACCTTTCCCTTCCTTTCCCTACCTTTACCTTCAAACCAAACATAGCCTAAGTTCTAATATAGATAATACAATTTCTAATTTTAGAAACATGAGGTGAAATAATATTTAAATCTTCTTGTATACATAAATTTAAAACATGACATGCGCATATAATATTAAATGATTTTTCCATTTAAGTGTGGTTTTAATTTAAATTTTAAAATATTTATAGCTAAATCATTATGACTAGCATTATCGAAACTAATACAAAGAATTTTATTTTCAATACCATTAGTAAGTAAAGTATTTAAAATACTTACAACAACTCAAGTCATGTAAAACTTAAAATTCATTTTTGTAAAAGCCATGATTCACCAATAAAATGCATTGTGACACAAATACAATTAATATCATATTTTGAACTCCAAATATTAGATAAGTAAAATTTTAGAATTAAGAATCAATAAAGTAGAAATTAAATTTTGTTTATATGTTAAAAAAATTAAAGCATATATTCTAATAGTATTTCTTGAAACAATTGTTCAGCATATCCAAAATTACCAAAAAGCCCATGATTAATTTGTGTTTTATTATTATTATTATTATTATTTGTTATTAAATGCCTACCCATGTTTTTTACCAAATGGCCAATACCACCCTAGCACGAGTAGTAGTAAAGGTGCCTTGAACGGTAACAGTAATTGTACGTACCACTAACATAATTAAAGTTGATCATATTGTGATTGGGCATCATTGAAGTTGAAGTTTTAGAGAAAAGGATTTTGAGAATAACTAGCTAATTTAAAAAATTTGAAACATTAAAACCTTAAAAATAAAAAATAATTACCATTTACTTGGCCTATTGGTGTGAAATGCGAGCTTGATTTCAACTTATAAAGCTTTTAAACCTCTAAAATTGTCAACTTAAGAAAATTGAACAAGCCTTCTGCTTGTAGAAACACGAATAAAGTTTAAAATAAAGTATGAAAGTGTATAAGAGAGTATGTAAGAGTATGAGTGTTATAGTTCTAAATGGTTAAAGTGTTTGGCGTGATGCGTTCCATCAGTCTTAAGGCTTTTGACATATTGGTCAAGCACACAATATTTGGTATCAGAGCCTACCATCACGTCTTATGTTTAAATCACAAAAAGGGCTACCTAGAGTAGAGTGAAACCTGCCATGGAAAGGGCTACCTAGAGTAAAGTGAAAGTTGTCACGAAAAGGGATACTTGAAGGAGAGTGAAAGTTTCCAAAGGGAATGGTCTACCTAATGCAGAGTCTAAGCTATCATGAAAATGGCTACCTATAGCTAGAGTGAGAGCCATCATGAAGAGGGCTACCTATTGCTAGAGTGAGAGTTGCCTAGCAATGTTTAGAGAATCGGGCTGGGCATAGAACCGAAGAAGGGAGAGTATCACGGGTTAGAGGTTCAACCTAGGTCAAACCAAAGGTAAAACCAAGATGACATAATATATAAAATACTATGGGTCATATAAATACTATATAAAATATTTTACAACTTTTAATATAGTTAAATATGGAGGAGAATGACTGTTTAGCCCTGGCTGCCCAGCTCATAATTCTTTGCCCCACCGTATAGGGGAGATGAATCCTAACTGTGGATTGATGCCAAATCCACGGGCAGGATGCGGTTTATAGGGGGGTGGGCTACTAGTAGACTATGGGGGGATGTAATTTCAGAATTCTGAAATGAACTGCAGTTTACTCTGATTAAATATGGTGGGTGGATGGTAAGCTTCTTAATTTTTAAAAAAATGACTAGGGTTCAAACCTTGTAATTTACATTTTCTTTGAAATATGTGCATAATAATGTAATATGTACGAGTCATTAAATAACATAAGTAAAGATGTGTTATTGTAACATTTTCTTGGGTTCAAGTCTTGTTAATTAAGTTTTAAAATTTCACTTATATATGGATCCGAGCGGTTTTATGAAACTGGGACCAGTTCATCGGCTTTTTGGTTAAACCAGCTAGTCGATCGATTTTCACCAATTTTTGAGCAAGTCCTGTTATTGGGGTGCTATTGAACCTATTAGAGTCCTAGGTCATGGTTCAACTGGTTTGACCAGCTAGTTCGGTCTGGTTTTCTAAATAGTGCTGCCTAGAGTGAAGCCACTGAGATGTCAGCTATGGAAGCATAGTGATATGTTTCGGTCCTAAATGGTTAAAGTGCTTGGTCCATTGGTCTTAAAGCTTTTGTTGTATTGGTCAAGCACAAAGCAATGAGAGAGCCTGAGAATTGGTGTAATGAGAATGAGGGAGAGTGAGGATATTTATAAGTGTTGGAAATAAGTTAATTAACCAAAATACCCTTAAAAACTAGCTATTAGTTGTTGGGGGGGGGGGGGGTTGGGATTACTAAAATACCCCTCAAATTAGTTGTTAAATTGGTGGGGGTATTTCTATAAAAACAAATTGGGGGGAGGGGGGAAACAGGCAAGTGGGTTGGCACGACCCATCGTGTTAGCTTTGTGCCATGCTATTCTAGGCTGCTGACCGTGCTAGCATGACCAACATTTTTGTGCTGTGCTATGCTAACCTGTGGGCCTCAAAACCCAAGCCCAACATGATACAAGAAGGGTATGGGTTGGGCTTGGCACGACCGTTTGCTATAGTGACGAGGTTGTAGTTGACCCACTTTAGAGTTCTAAATAAAAAGTGACACCTTGAAAAACATAAACTCCAAGGTCCAACTTAAATTAATATTAATGGATTTTAGATTTTCTCAATGTATCATACAAAAAAGTACCATTGAAAGGCTAGAAGTCGGGTCAGGTTCAAAGATTACATATTTACATTTTACTTGGCCGGTTGGGTTGGTTAGGGATGAAAAAATCCATAGTAATTCCGACCCATTGACATCCATATATATTGGGGGCCTAGTTAGGGTTGAGCCTGAATAAGGTTAAAGTTTAGGAGTGTCAATGGATCAAATCATAATTTGATACAAATCCTATTTTGTTTTATTAGGATATATTCTTATCAGATTTTCGGATCACCTCTATCCAATCTGATCTGATTCGGATATATGCGATCCAATCCAATTGTATTTGTTGTTTTTCTTTAAAACTATTATATTTAAAAAAAATCCAGAAATTAAATCGTATTAGATCCGATCTACTATTTTATAATATTGGATAGGATTCGAATCCGATACGATCCGTTCCCGAAGACAAAAGGCTGTGTCGAAAATGGTCCAGGAGGAATAGTCAATAATGACCCCATGTAACGAAATCGGATTTGCTCCTGCGCTTGCGGGTATAGAAAACAGCGGACGATTCAACCCAAAAGCGGTTTCTGGGAAGCCAAAAACTGCTTATCTCCCAACTCCCAAGAATGTTACGCCAGTTGTATTAATGCTTTTGAGCTTCGCCCCCAATATTTAACTGGCAAATAAATAAATAAATAAACAAATAAAAATCCGGTACGTACATATCCGCCCCGAAGCCCCAGTCTCTTTCTCGATGCATGTATCTATTGACTATTGTATTCACGACATGACATCTGATATTTCTTTTATCTTGCATCTGCGCTAGAGTCTAGACATCAAATCTTGTACCCTACATATGGAATACTGAGTTAGGATGATCTATTCGAAATCGTATCCTTTAACCAGTGGATAAGAACCCAAAGGCCAAAGATGGATGGAATTATGGAAGGGAGGGGCTCCATCTATGATCTATGGCCTCGCCACTCCCAAGTCCCAATCATCTCTCTCCTCACCCTATTTTAAAGTAAAAAAGCCTACAAGGCCACGTCTCTATCCAAATTCCAGGTTACAATTCGCTGGGCGTCAGTTGTCAGAGCACACCGGAAGCTGAGACGGGAAAACAGGAAACATTCCCCTCACACCCAAATCCACAATCCCACTTGCAATCTGAACTAAAACCATCCCCTCTTTCTTTGTCTTTGCCGTCTTCTTCCTCTTGCTGGGTATATAAAAAGACCGCGGTTTATGCTAGCTTTAATCATCATCAGTCTTTGAGTCTTTGATTTGAGATTCCCCAAATTCCATTTTAGAATCTAAAAAACAAACAGGTGAGGTGGTGCCGTGCGCTATCCATTTTCGTTTTTGAGGGTTTAAGGTTTAAGGTGCTGCTGCGTCAAGCACAAGGGTCAAGACTCAAGTGTAGTGAAGAAGAGCCCAGACTCCAGAGTTTTAAAATTAAAGGTTAGAGAGAAGATGATATTGGTGGCGATAGTGGCGGAGCTACTGGAGGAGTACACTGTGCTTCTGGCCAGGGTATTAGAGCAAATGTTTCACGATGCCCCCTTTCCCAGGCGTATGCGTTTCCTCATTCTCCGTAATCTTCCTTTCGTTTCCCTCACGCCTCGCCCTCGTATGATCCGAGCCTCTGCTTAGCCTTCTCTCTGTCTCTCCCTATTTCTCATGTTTACCTTTTTCCGTTCTTTCTGCGATTTTTGATCTTGTATGTATATGAGCATTTTTCTTTATAGCTTTTAATCTCAACCATTCTGTAATATTAAACGAATTTTATCTCTTTCTTTTGTTTTTTCTTCTTTCTCCTCTTAATTTTGTCGATCATTCAAGAAGGAGTCTTCAAAATTTGGGCTGACGATGCGGATGTGGCAATTCCTGGTTCGATACCTCAATTATGGATTCCATGAACGAAGAACGCTACCATTAAAATCTACAAGTAGTAGTAGAGTGTGCAAATATGGAGAGTGGAGACGGAGAGATTTTCACGTACATTTAAATGAAAATGAAAAACAAATTCAGAAGTTTTGTGTTCCGTCTGTTTTCCCCCACCCACAGAATCAGAAACCCTGTCTCGCTCTCGCTGTTCACGGCGTTCTCTCTACCGCCTCCTGCCTGAGTTGTGAGTAGTGGTGGCTTGACTCCTGGCTGGCCCTCCTCTATCTTCATTGTCCTGGTAAAAATATAATATTCGCAATTCGGGATTTATGTTTGGTTTCAATAGAGATGGATAGGGATGGGATTACTTTTTCAATGAGGTCGACCTTATCCGTTCTCTTCTTTTTGGTAAATACTTTTTCAATGGGATTTCTTTTTCTACCATTCGTGATGGGACAAGGAGGCGCAAGTTGGAATAGTCCGGATCTGCTCCTCATTCACACCCTGGGGAGATAGATGTTCCCAATACAGTGTGATATATGGCTGTGAGTATGGGTTTCTTCATTCTTATTCTTACAAATAAGTTGGGTTAAAAATTAATCTCCCTTTCATAATGGGGTATGGGGTCAAACACTATTTTCCCATTTCTCAGGGTGTTTACTTGAGTTCAATATCTCTCCCATTTCTCAGTGATGTATAAATATGTAGGTGTAGGAGCAGAGCTCATAGTTGTAAAGGGAGCCCTGTCTCCCTCTCCCCCCTTTAGAGCTTTGTGGAGTGTGAAGTGTTGGGAGGCTTCTACAATTAGTGGCTTTCCACTGCAGTGTACCAGTACCCCCTTGATTTTTTAATGATCGTTTCTTGCTTTCATTACCAACAAAAGTTTGTATCATCTTATCTGTGGCATAGCAAAGATAGAGATGATCTTTTTATCATATTTGGTTATTTGAATTACTAGGCTGAAATTAGGGTTCAACTTGCACGGCTCGATTGGGGTTTTAGTCAAAATTTGAATGGGGCCTGGGCTTTCCAATGCAGTGTCCGATTTGATAATTAAGGTCTGAAAGCAACCACTTTGTCTGAATAATGACAAAAATGATTGGGAGTTTGGGACCACTAGGTACACATCCAATTTAGACCTTATCAGGAGTAGGAGTTGTTTATTTAAATAATTCAAGAATCAAGGATTGGGGGATAGGAGTGCAACTTGGATGGGTTCATTTCGAATTTTGTCAAAATTTGAATGGGCGGGCTCGGTTCGAGAGAAGTGTAAAATGCTAACTTGGATCAACCCGAATTCTGCCCCTAGTTGGGGGAGGGGGTTGAGAGGAAAAGGGTGTTAGCAAATGTGTATGTGTGTGATTAATGATTTTGTTTTTCAGAAAACACCAGAAAGGGAAAATAAATACTGCCACTAGGGCTGTTTGTGTAGTAGTTAATAAAAAAGCATTCTGTACTGAGATTTTGGCTGCATTTGGCCTTCCTTATTTTAAGCAATTGTCTCTTTTTTACAGTTAAAATGCCCTTATAAGCACCAAATTTTTAACTCAAATGCCCTTAAAAGGTCCTCAAATGGATAATCTAGAACATAAAATTATTAAAACAGCATAGGAATGTCAATAATCTAGGTCATCAAATGGATAATCTAGATCCGTGAGATCAGCGACCCATGTATCAGATTTTCCTTTGGAGGGAGTCCGGATCCGCTACCAACTAGTCACCAACAACATGATCTATATTCACATTTTTTACATGTTTAACACTTATATGTTGACAGTGATGAGATTCTTTCAAAGGCTTTTTAATGTGCAGCTTCATAGGAGAATAATTTTTGCCAAGGCTGTATTTTGTTTCAATATTACATGGATGGAAAACAAGGCAGTACCTTGTTTCAATGTCATGGATGGAAATTTTGTCTAAAATCTAATGTGTTTTAAGGCGTTGTTCTTTTATAATGTACAAGGTAGGGGGAGTTGGTTAATGGGAAATTGACGGGTAAATTCAGTTTTAGGGGAAATTGACCAATTTAATGTATTTTGGGTATTTGGGCATTACGTATTACTCTTTTCCCTAGTGGGTAAATCACTTTTCCATGAAGACTGCATTTGTTTTAGGTGTAAATTTAGTTTTACATCGATGAAATATGTGACCCGATTTAGTGATCGATGGAAAATGGAACCTGGGTGTTTTGGAAATTTTCTCTCATATCATTTGGTTGCTACGGTATAAAAGTGAAAGGTTTTCTGATCATTCTGCTCTGAAACTCTCCCTCCGAACCCAGTTGGATCCAGAATATAATATGGTGTTAGTCTTTGGAATCTGACATCAGAGAGAGATGGCAGTTGCAAAGACTAACATCAGCTTCAACCTTTCCTTGATCTATATGGGCTCTAACATCAGAACCCACCACGGCATGGGCAGTGGAAGGTAGATGAACTCGGGAAGCATGGCTGGAGGAGCTAGGATTGCAGGATGTGCAGTGGTGGTCGGTCTAGAAAGTGGGAAATCTACAACTGGTCTACATTGAAGAAGAGGTAGTGAGGGTGGTGCCTGAAGGGAGCAAGAGGTTCATACGGGTCATGAATGGAGACCTGGTTCGGTACCCTAAATAGTTTGAGGCTGGTCATCGGCCTAGCTAATGGAGTGTCTAGTTGGACATCAGCTACGACCTCTTTGAGGGTCAGCATGGGATGTCTTCCGTGAGGTTCTGAAGAGCACAAATGGGGTTTATCTCAGTAACAATTATATAGGCGCCGACTTGCTTAACAGTGGTAGCACAACCCTTGCCGACATGTCCATACCTACAGATAACTGCTACCTTGCCGACAATCATCATAGGACAAAGCAGTTAGATAGGGGAAGAATTAAGGCTTCGTTTGGTTTGTGGGATGGGGATGAGAAAAAGGGAATATTTCAAAAATATTCTTTTTTCTCATTTTGTTTTGAGAGAAATAGAGGGATGGGATGAGAAAAATATGGGATGTCAGATCCCAAAATCGTGGAATCAGGGTTGCACCAAAACCGTGCAACCCCGGTGGAAAAACTTGAGAAACCACTATTACCATTGAACTGGCCTTCTTCTTCACCAGATACTGGCAAGGAACCAGTGCGAGGGACTACGGCGATCTCCCTCTATCTTCCTCTTCTCTCTTCTCCCTCACCTTCTTCTTCTTCCTATTCTTCTCGTCTTCCTCCCTTTCTCTTCTCTCTTCTGCGAGGGGCAATAGCGATCTCCCTCCATCTTCCTCTTCTCTCTTGTCCCTCATCTTCTTCTTCTTCTTCATATTCTTTCCATCTTCCTCCCTTTCTTTGATTGTTGCTGCAACTCTCAGTAGCGGCGATCTGCTTTCTCAACACTCCTATTCTTCTCGACTTCACCAGATTTCCTTTCTAAACTCTCGCCGTTGCAACTCATGGAGCTATGTTCTTCAACTCTCAGCAACTCCGGTGAAGAACCAGCTCGTTACAGTGTTTTTCCTATTATTTTCCCATATATAAAACCAAACAATGGAAAGGTAAATTTTTACATGCTCCCATCCCATCCCATCTTTTCCCATCCTACTCAAATCTTCCCACAAACCAAATGGAGCCTAAAGTTAATTGTACCTTTCCTAGAATCGGAACAATTAACCACAAATTTGGATTATCACAACCAATTCTTTTATATTATTATGATTTGATATTAAAACCAGAAACTTAGATCTAGTAGATTTTGAGATGGTCGTATCTTGAACTCAGGTCGCCTAGTTAAACAGACAGATCTTGAAGATCTACAAGATTATTCGATCAAAATGAAACTTGTTCTTATAGAGAGGAGATGTTGGACGGATGAGACGTTGCAAGACAGAGAGGAACGAAGCTTGTTCTTCTGGCTGTGTTGGACGAAGGAGACGTTGCCTGACAAAGAGGAGAGAAGCTTGTTCTTGCAAAGAGGAGATTGTTGGATGGAAAAGAAGGGAAAGTTTACATCCATTTTAACGACATAAATTTTTCATCTATTTTCGATGAAAATATTGATAAGAATGAAAGTTTACCCCAATTCTCATTTACATCTCAAACGAACTCAAACGAACTTGGCCAAAGGGAAAGAATTAATTAAATTATTATAAAACTAAAATGTCAATATACAAAAGTCAGAATTTTTCGGAAATCCTGATTTACTTCTCACAGAGTATGCATCACACCAATCTCACAGTGCTTTAAACCGTGCATTGAGAATATCTCCTCTATTTCATGTTGTCATACGTGCGAAAAAATTCCAAATGCATAGCTGTGATAGAACTGGAAAGTTGGTTTTGAGGTGGTACTTTGAGGAACAAACCCAATTTCCTGTTTTAGAAAATTATCTCACTTATTCAACTAACATTTCTTAACAAAAGAACGTAAGGGTAAATACGTTTAAAAAATAATCCATATGTTATTTTCTAGTACGATGTTGATTTTTGGATTTCCATTATTAAATCGAAGGGAACAAATTGATATGGGCAGAACCAACAACTAATCAAATCCAAACATGTGGCATCCACCAATGTAAGCTCGACGTCTTAGATCGGATAGATCTTAATCGATCTTGCACAATCACCTCACCGAGATTCAATAACCGTAGCACCACCCACGAGAATACGAATCCGGATGTGCTCCTCACACAGCACGCATCACACTGATTTTACAGCATGTTTTAGCCGCATTTTGAGAATATTTTCCACACTTGTATTTATTATTCACGAAGAAGAGATGTTTCCGATACAGGATGGGATACATTTTGAGAGGTTGGTATGAGGTGCATTTTGAGAGGAGCAGATCTCAATTTCGAGAATACAGCCCGCCATCAGAAACACGCCACGCCAAGCAAGGCACAAGTGGCATTGGCATAGGATACACCTGACACCATCGTGATCTCATGTGGTTAATTGAAGTAGGTCGGGCCCAAGCTCTACCATGCTCGTCAGATAGTATTAACACGCCACAATAGGTGTCTCGAGATCTGAGCTAGTCATGATCTCGACCGTCGTTCAGCCTGGGAATCGTCCAGGCAACCAATTCCATTTTAACCCGAACATGATCTCTCGCCAAAAGTCGTTGAATCGGTCAATGGCATGTTAATTCAGGTGATCGAACCATCGAGCCATTTGACCCATTCAATGGTTTTTGGTTATTTTTAAATTTTAATTATTTTTAATTTTTTAATTTATTTTGACAGAACAAATTGTCCATTCGGATTGGATGGTTGAATCACCAACTGAACAATCGGTGGCTAAGATGATTCTCGATCATTTTTTAATACATTGGTTTTGATATTTTCAATAGATAACTAACAATCGATTTAACGACAACGACCTAATTTAACACTTTTTGAAAGTTTAGATAACACTACCTAAGTTGAGGGTAATTAATAAGTGAAATTTTACCTTTCATTTATCTCATTTACCACAGTCATAACACATCCTAAGTCTAGATTTAATCTTTTCTTATTTTACTAACACATCCTAAATCTAGATTTAATCTTTTCTTATTTTACTAACACATCCTAAATCTAGATTTAATCTTTTCTAATTTTAGTAACTTACCATCGAAGTCACTAGCCCGATATACACTTGCTCTGTTACAGACATCGTCTCCATCCAAGATGCACAGTTGAAGACCGACTTCATTCAGACGTCATCACAAATCAACGCCTAAACTGAGATGAGGCCAGTCACCGTATTTAACTCATCTCCCTACCGTACGTCAAGACCCAAAGAATAGGGAATAAATAAAGTTGGGAGTTGAGAGAGACGAACCAATCAAAGAGTTGTCTGTAACTTAGTAGCTAGGGACCGGTGGACCACGACGTGCCGTGTCTTCTTTCTCCCGATCTTCTTTGGGAATGAGATGACTCATATAGTATTATCTTAAGCTCGTTTCTGAGGTCCCAACCATTCCAGACAGGAGCCAAACTCAAATGTCCAGTGACTAAGTGAGAATAAGGAATCTGGAAAAGGAATGAACCACCCACTGAACACAAAAATTTGAACTTTGATATCTCTCCAATCCCACAAAACTTTCTAGAGAAGCAGACTCGATTAATTAAGCATCCATAATTCCATATCCATCGTTTTTTAATCAAACACTAGCGGAAGGGCCCTGTTTCGCAAGGGCTGGAATGGAACCCTCGAACTGTTGATCCGTTATATGGTTTTTGGCAAAAAACTGTTGAATTGGTCAATGATTCATTGACCTAAGCAGAACTATTGATCTGTTAATCCGTTCAATAGTTTTTTACCGTTTATTTTTTATTTTTTTAATCAAGAACCATCCAAGTAAAGGGTTTCGTTTTATCCTAATCTTGGTCTCTAGCCAAAAATCATTGAATCGGTCAACGATTCATTTATCCGGGTGGTCGAATCATTGACCCGTTCAATGGTTTTTGGTTGACCCAAAAACTGATGGCTAGAATGGTTCCATTTTCAGGTTGTATGAATCACACGCTCAAATGACATAACACGTATATTACTGCTTAATGGACCTCACACACTCAATTTTTTGCCTATAATTTTTGTTGTCAAAATGGGTCGTCCATTTTTTTTTTTTTAATTGGGAACCGTCTACGCAACTAGTTCCATTTTACCTCAATCCTGGTCCCTCGCAAAAAACTGTTGAATCGGTCAACAGACCATTGACTTGAGTGGTCGAACCATCAACCCATTGACCCATTCAATGGTTTTTGGTTATTTTTTTAATTTTTATTGTCAGAACGGGTTGTCCATTCAAACCAGACGGTCGAATTGTCGACCCGAAAACCAGTGGCCAGAACGGTTCCATTTTCAGGTCATGAGTCACACGCTTGAATGACATAACATGTATGATACTGCTCAATGGACCTCACACACAATATTTTGTTTGTAATTTTTATTGTCAGAATGGCTCGTCCGTTCGAACCGAACGATCGAACCGTCGACCTGAAAACCAGTGGCTAGAACGGTTTCGTAAATTTTTACTTATATATATATATATATATTTTTGTTAGAATGGGGCACCCATTCGAACCAAACGGTCAAACCATCGATCCAAAAACTGGTTGCCAAAACGGTTTTGTTTTCGGGTCGTATGAGTCATACGCTCGAATGACATAACACATATGATACTACTACTTAATGGACCTCACAAACTCAATTTTTTGCCTATAATTTTTGTTGTTAGAAAAAATTGTTCGTTCTAACCGAATGATCGAACTGTCGACCCGAAAACTGGTGGCTAGAATGGTTTCATAATTTTTTGCTTGTAATTTTTGTTGTCAGAACGGGCCATCCGTTTGAACCAGATGGTTGAACCGTTGATTGTCAGAACATTATTAACAACATTTATCAATAATAGTAAGTAATTATACTATTTAATTAAATAATCATTAACGATAGTTTTAATAATATTATGTAGTTATTTTTAATATAACAGTAATTCTTAAGTTTATGAATATGATTTATTAACAATATTTATTAAATTAATAATTGCCAAAATTAAATTAAATTAAGAGTATTTATCAATAATAGTCAGTAATTATAATATTTTATTAAATAATCAATAACAATACTTTTAATAAGATTTTTAATTATTTTTAATATAACAACAATTACTAAATATATTAACAGTATTTATTAATAACAGTATTCATAATTTTAATTTAAAGTAAATATCTTTTTTATTAACAATATTTATAATAACAGTAATTATTAATTATAATTGCTAATTATATATTTATTAAATTACTATAATAATCAGTAATTATTAAAACCGGGTTACTAAATTTATTAACAGTATTTTTTTAATAACAATATTTATAATTTTAATTTAAAGTAAAATTGAAGTAAATATCTAATTATTAATTATAATCACTAATTATATATTTATTAAATTAATATAATAATCAGTAATTATATTTATTAAATTAGTGTAATAATCAGTAATTATTATTACAATAATTATAAGATTAAGTAAATAATAATCAGTAATTATAGGAAATGGGTTTTTGCACGTGGGACCTACTAAAGATATTTTTACCAGGAACAACGAACCACGATTCCCCAGACTCCACTCCACAGTCCACAAGCTACAGGAAGGCGTACGTGATTGTAACCACTGACTATTAAGTCCAAGTGAGTCTTCTTCCTTCAATGGCTTTTCTTATTTAATCCACAATTCTTTGTTCATAAAGAAGAATATAGTTGTTCCAATTCCAAGTGATGAACAGAAAAAAAAATGTACATGAAAAAACATTATAGGGTAATCTTGAGAAGTACTCCTTGGCAGCTGTATTACGTTCATGAAAAAACATTAAACTAAAAAAAAAAAAATCCCTGTGCTCCTTAGACTTGATAATATAAGAACCCTACATGGAGGGCAGAGAGAATTTGTTCACTTTTCTATAGACCAAAAAAACATGGATTCCTATCTTAATGTGGTAGAGAAAAAACAAAGGAAATGCCCACCATGCTGACTGATAAATTCTACCAAGTATGATGCAAATCGAAGCAAAAGGCTTTTATTGTAGTGAGAGTGAGGACTCAGAAGAGTGGCAGCTAGCAGGCTAGATGCTAAAGTTGAGTGGTCGGCCAAGGCATACCAGTTGAAGGTACTATAAAAGCATTAGAAAGCCCTAGTGGCCATTGTTTTCAACTTAATTTATACTTGAAAGCAAGTATAGAAAAATAGACCACAAATGTTCTCCTTTCCACAAAACTTTATAATATCTATAAAGACTAAGACATAGCAAAATTGGAATATAGCTTTACTTAGCCTCATATATAGAAGGTGCATGTGTGATTGTCAAAGATGGGGAAAAGGAGATTTTTGGAATATTTGTTCCCTTTGCATCCATACCCATCTTTCCTTAAGCCCATCATCCTTGAGACTTATTAATATTATTCTCTCTTTCCACTGGCCGCTGCCATGTCAGCTTGATATCGATCCACATTTGAAGCGTTTTTCTGAGGTTTTGAGATACTATTCCCTCTACCCAGCCAGCAATAAAGGTTTTAATTATTTTGGGGCTTCAGTCCAATGGGCTTAAGCACAAGCAAAATTTGTATCGTGGAAGAGCATAGAGAACATTGGAATATATTACAAAGACGGAAGCGATGCCTTGAAGGAATAATATGATATCTTATGGCACTCCTCTTCATCTGCTACTCTTCTTTCACATTTGAAATTGTATATTTATAAGGAGTCCTACACAGCCATGCCTACAGCACTAGAGAGAACATTGGGTTCTATCATTTCCACCATTGAGTACTGTTACTTTCGCTATCGAAACCTCAACAACATCAACCAGCAGGCCAACATGCCCAAGAGTCGACCACTTTCATTGCAGGTTCGCTTTCATATCCCAGTGTGTTCATCTTTTTCAACAGGGGTTTTCTCTAGTTCTTTTCTGTGTCTATTTTTCAACTTGATATGGAGGATAAATAGACAGAGGGAGAAGACGAAAAGTGAAACTAGGGACCAATGTTTCTGGTTTACTGATTCATTCAAAGTAGTTAAGCAAGGGCATGTGGGAAACAAATACTTCTACCTTTATTTATTTATTTTTTTTTAGGGGTGGGTGGGGGAGTGATTTCTATATATTGTCCTCTCTTTATTGATTTAGTAGATTAATTTATTTGATCATCTTCACCTGGGGATGTTAATTTTTGTTCTAAATTACCTTTAATTTGGTCCATAGAACACACTTGACACAACTCTCTACTTGTTGACTTAGCTTAGAGTTGCAAGTTGCCAATTAATATAGCCCTTTCATGGAACCGACAACGTAACTTAATGGAAAAAAAATGGTAATATAGTTATTTCTCCGTTGGAGTTGGACAACCTAAAACTACTTATTCCTTATAGAAACATATACATATTTGTTTATGCAGAGATAGGTAGAACCATTAAACCTACTGCTTGTGCCCACGGGTTAAAGTGATGGAACACCTTTTATATATCCTTTTTGACAACCTTTCAAGTTTGAATACTATTTGCATTTGATGGATGTTCTCTTTCTTCTTCTAATTTTAATTTCTTTGATTCAGACGGTGGAGCTCAAAGTGAGGATGTGCTGCACGGGCTGTGAGAGGGTTGTAAGAGACGCCATACTCAAGCTCAGAGGTGAGCACTCAGCAGCCACGAGCCTAGGGTCATATATACATATCCCCTTTAAGCCCCAGTTCATTTATCCATTTATCAACATAAATAAGTAACACATGACCTTTTTATCCCCAAAAAGCTAATGTTAAAAAGAATAAATTATCTCATCATATTTTTTAAATTTCTTCTTTCAAGTGGAAAGTTTACTTATTCACCTAGTAGATGGATAATTTTATCCGGATAAATAAAACGCTCTTTATTCACATAAATGTTTTTTGGGTTGGATAAGTTCACTTATATTTTTTTAATTTCTAGGTAAATAACACAATGACCTTTTTACCATGGTTTTAAAAATGATTCGGAAACGGAACCATTCTAGCCACCGGTTTTCGGGTCAACGGTTCGAACAGGCAGCCCACTTTGACAAAAAAATAAAATAAAAAACGGTCAAAGACCATTAAACGGGTTGATGGTTTAACTACCCAGGTCAACAGGTCATTGACTAATTCAATGGTTTTTGGCTAAAGACCAGATTTGGAATAAAACAGAATAGGTTGCTTAGACGATTCATGAGCCGAATGGTCTAACCCGGATAGTCAACGGCGGTTCAAAAACGATAACTTTTACCCACAAAAAACTAATGTTAAGAAGTGAAAAAATTACTTATTCACGTATGATGTATGATATAGATAAGTTTTACCCTCTATACCATGGGGCCCGGTATTTAATACAAAATGGAAAAGAAATACCCATAGACCAATTTTACTTTTTTTTTTATTTACCGGTAAACAAATGGGGCCTAAATAGTAAGTATAATATGAAGAGTTGGGTTGGTAATTGTGGAATATGGTGTGAAGATAATAATGCATGCATATATTATATATGGGTGTGTGGCAGGGGTGGACTCAGTGGAGGTGGAGCTGGAGATGGAGAAGGTGACGGTGGTTGGGTATGTGGATCGAAACAAGGTGTTGAAGGCAGTGAGGAGGAGTGGGAAGAGGGCAGAGTTCTGGCCCTACCCAAATCCACCATTGTACTTCACATCCGCCAATGAATACTTCAAGGACATGAACAACGACTACAAAGAGAGCTACAACTATTGGAGGCATGGTTACAATGTGGGCGAAAGGCATGGCAATATTCCCGTGTCTTATCGAGGGGATGACAAGGTCAGCAACTTGTTCAACGATGACAACGTCAATGCCTGTTGTCTCATGTAATATTTATATCTCTCTGCTTTTCATCAAATGCATAATTATTAAAGGAGATTTGCAACCCAAGTGCTTATGCTGTGGGCAAAACCCAAGCCTTCCGTGTGTTTGTATTTATGTGTGTGTGCTCTGTTAATTAATTTCTCGTGTGTAATAGCATGCAAGCAAGTTCCACCGGCTCATATCAGTATATATTCCCAATCCCAGCACCTCCTGAATGTCAATTAACCAACCACACCAGGCACCAGCGCTCACATGGTGACTTTACATTGTGGTTCCAGAAAGAAAACAACTTTCTCTTATTCTCTTTTATTCTTTTACTGAGCCAAATACAGCCTAAGTATTAGAGAGGACCTGATTAGCTGCATTGGGGAAATTTAACCTTTAAGTGAAATGACAATGCCTAGTTCTTTTTATTCGAAAACAAGGCTTGGAAAATTAATTAACCCTGTTGACGAGTATAAGAGATTAAGAGAGCAAAAGTTGTAGTAAATGTGCATCAACATGAGTGACATTACGATTAGGGGCCGTTTTGGAATTTGGAGGGCTTAAGTGCCCGTTCGAGAGGAGTCTGCATCTCCTGCCCAAGTTTGCCCACATAACTTTGCAGCCACACATGAAGATATATATATATATTCTTAATTCACGGGGATAATGTGTTGTGAGTAGACATAGGTAGAGTTCTCGTGAATAGAAGATCCCGCGTCATTTGAGAGAAGCCTTTCAGGTTGTGGCCTTCGGCTTTGCAAGGTAGGATCCACCTCAAAAGCCCATAAGCAATAAAGCAAAATTTAAACAGTGTATAGCCATTTGGACTTCTCCCCCTACAAGCCTCTTCCACTAGCGCTTCTTCAGGGTAGCTGAATCAAAGTTAACTCCCCCCTACCCTAATGGACCCAAACTTTCTACCGAAAAAAAAAAAAATGGACCCAAGTTGGACTGCTCAGAATTAAAAGTCCACCCAATTGGTGTTTTAGTGCTATGGCCCAAACACACTTCGGAATTTTCTGATGGAATTAGGTGTTTTAGTGCTAAAAACCGGTGCCACTATGGCCCATATCCACCCAATTGGTATATCCTTGTGCTTGGTATAAAAATGTTAATATATTGAAGTATTTGCTTTTATTATTGAAAATTGTTATGCATTTTCGCTTCTGAATGTGCCAAATGGGGAGCATGATTCATGAAACACCATCTCAATTCCCAACCAAAACTCTAGATACCTCCTTGTAGGATAATTTTTGCATAAAAACAAAATGTCATATATAATTTATGACTATTTAAGCATAAATGCTGATGTGTAACAAGTAGGACATGTAGTAGTGGTTAGATATAGAGTGGGTCCACCTGAACCCATAGTTGGAAAACGAAAACGACCTTGCATTAATTAGTGAAACCAAAACAAAAACTACAATAAGATGAAAATGAAATGAAAAAAATTAAAGAGGTTTCAAATTTCAATAAGCTCACGCATTTCATTCAGGGGTGAGGCGGTGAGCGCTGCACCAACATCTTTTACTGCAAATCCGTGGTGGGCGCATCTCAATTCTATCTCTATCTTGTTTGGATTTCCAAATTCCAATACGAAATTCTTGTGGTTACAACTTACAGCTACTAGTGCCAAAAGCCCAGATTCTGGAAAAACTTTGGTTGTTAACGGCCTATATTATGTTGTTGAGAATATTTTTGGAAAATGCCACATTAGGTAAATTAGTAATTGTTCACTATTTCTTTTTTTCAATTTACACCCTTGAGTGTGAATCACCTATGGTCTTATGACGACCAAGCGATAGCCATGTGGCAAATGGGAATTGTTCATCTGAAAAAATCAAGCTTTAAAAGAAGAAGTGGGATTTACTCCTCACATCTGGCGTCTCATACACACATTCTACCATGCATTGGAAATATCTCTCAAACTTATTAATTATTATTCACAGGAGATGTTTCCAATGCATGGTGGATGTACCTGTAAAACACCCATTTGTGAGGAGTAGATCTTGACTCCATGCGGGGCGTCTCAAAACGATTTCACAGGCGCACCCCACCGTGCATTTGAGAACATCTCCCTAAATACTAACATGGGAAATGTTTTCAATATACAATATGATGGGCCTATGAGTCGATGTAAAGCGCCATGTGTTAGAGCAGATCTGGTCTCTCAAACTATTCGTGACATCTTTTTGGATGATTTTCCAAGTTGCAAGAGCACATAGGCTCCCAACATAGTTCCCCCCATCACGATCCACCGTCCATTGGAACATCTCTTCAACTTGTCACGGGGAGATGTTGTGTTATGAGGTGTGGTCAGTGGGGAGCCAATCCGTATACGTGGTGAGGTGATTGAAATGTTAATATTGAAAATATTTATGGCACTGAAATATCAAAATCTACCCATGAATTTTGATAAACATTCGTTATTTCGGACCTCAGTTACCATGTAAACAAGTATTGATTAATGAATGGGCGCCAAGCTGTGCCCAACCCATCAAATGATTGAGTGATTATCTATTAAATCCCAGAAAGTCGAAACAAATATTAGTTAAAATTTGCACCTATTTAATAATCAATTGGATGTGGATTTGAATCCATCCAATCCGATAAAAATCTGGGAGATTATATGTAAAAACTAACTAATCTTTATTTTAATAACGATGGAATGGAGTCGGATTGAGTCTGAATCCAATCTGAACTAATCGGATCTGATTACAACCTTAATGTTAAGTAGCAAGCAAGCAGTTGCAATTATTTTGTATCAAAATAAGTTTCAAACAATAAATATCTAAGGTAAATCCTCTAAATTTTTCAAGTATTCAACAAAAACCTCCCTTCTGTCATTGATCTACACAGAAAGCCATTAAAATATTTCAAAATACTGGTTCTTAATTTAGCTTTAAAGAAGCTTATTCAGTAGTTCGTTTTGTTCTGACAACCGAATACCAGTGGCTGAAACAGGTGATAAGAGTCGTAACATTATAAGAACGATTTTTATCGGCAGTCTGACAGCTGTAGAAGCCATGAAAATGCTTGCCAAGTTTTTAGCCGATGGCTTGCAAAAGGGACGGGTGAAGAGAGGAAGAAGGTTGCTTATGAGATCCAGTTTTGCAAAATCGAGCATATTCAACAGGTCTTACTTGGCAGATGCAGCACAATCCCCAATTTATTAAAGCTTCTATCCACAACTGATCCATCAATACAAGAGAATGCTATGGCAGCCCTGTTGAACCTTTCAAAACATTCCAAGAGCAAATTGTTAATTGTCAAGAACAATGGATTGGGATTAATTCTGGACGTTCTAAGAGGAGGAATTACAAAAGATTCTAGCAGTTGCTACATTTTTTTATCTTGCTTCAATTTATGAGTACAAGAAACTGATTGGAGAGATGCCAACTACAATCTCTTCCTTGGTAGAGCTGATGAGAGAGAAAAAACAAAGAAAATAGGAGAGGGAAGAGAAGAGTGGAGAGAAAGAGAAAGCTTTGAGGAGGTTGTCGAAACTCTGTTCGCTGCTGCTGTGAAGAAGATGAACAGTGTCTTTTGGTTGCTCCGGCTTGATGGAAGAGAGGAGGGACAATGGGGATGTTGAAGAGAGATGGAGAAAGAAGAAATCAAGGACAAAAACCAGTGAGGGGAGATTGGGGGAAGGATTTCTTGTCCTTCCCTCATTCTACGTCAAGAGGAAGGGGAAGCAAGGGCAACTTTGGTATTTTGAAATATTTTAATGATACCCTAACAATTAATTAAGGACACTTTCGTAATTTTAATGGTTTTCCGTTTGGGTTAGTGACAGAAGGTAGGTTTTTTGTTGAATTCTTTAAATGTTTAGGGGAGGTTTTATTAAAGTGAAACTATAGGGGGAGTTTTTATGATTGTCAGAAATTTCAGGGGAGGTTTTTGTATTTTACCCTAATTTTTTAGACTGTATCAATTATTATTAGTGTTGTTGTTGTTGTTGTTGTCATCGTCGTCGTCGTTTCAAATCTAATATTTGTGGATAACAAATCATGGAATCTAATTATCTAAATATTCTATCCTACAAAATAAAAATAAAAATAAATAAATAAATTGTTGAAACCTCCCTTGAAGTTTGGTAATTGCAATCACCTCCCCTGAATTTTATGACATAGTTCAAGGAGACCCCTTTGTTAGAATCCTCTAAAAATAGGTATTAAATCTCTTTTCTGAAATTGTTTTATTTTTCAAATTTGCTCTTCATATTAATGGCTCAAAAAGGAAATTGCAACTTTAAATTTTCTATTTTTTGTTGTTTATAAAGTTTGTATTATTTTTTTTCTATAGAAATCAGTCTTAATAGTAATTGCATGGATATTTTAGATATTTTAGATATTTTTATACTTTTTGTTAGAGGATTTACTTGCAAATGTGTCACAAATTTCAAAGAAAATGATTACAATTACCAAACTTTAGGAAAAATTTTAGCAACAGTCAGAAATTTTCTGTTTGCTCATGCCAAACCAATTCCTTTATGTCAATTGGAGTATGCTAAAGCTATTGCTTTCTTTAAAACTATCTCTTTGGCACCCAGTATGCAGTTCACCTATGTTATAATTGAAAGTGACGCTGAATTGATTGTAAAACTTCTGTCGGTAGAGAGCACTGATCCACCGTGAATGCTACACACTGCTCAGGCAACTTTGTTCTTAGACAATGAAATTGGGTTGCTTGTCATTGTATGTCTCTTTTTGGGTACACATTTGGGCTGCAATACTTGATTTCTTGCATCATTAATTCTATTTTATTAGAGCTTCTGAGTTATGATAGAATTTTGCAGGGCAAGACACCTTTGGCTATTTGGGATGTCTAGATCTTGAAAAAATTACTCAAAATATTAAAAAAGATCATTTCAGTCAAACATCTGAGTGTAAAGTTATGGCCTCCAAAAGTTTGTACATTCATTGAATGTGTAACTCGTGGCCCACCCACTGATCGGATTAAACAGATCAATGACTCAACCTCCAAGGTTGAACGATTTTTAACCAGATCAATGGTTTTTGACCAAATTGCAAATTTCATACAAACCAAACCTAGAATCTTAACTGGTAATGGTTCAACCAAAAACACTGCCACTAGCCTAAAAGAGTTATTACTTCTTCCAATACCTGCATCGACTTTATTTTGAGAAACCCCGTCGGAAGGTAAGCTCCATCTAATAGCTGGTGAAGTA